ATTTATTTGAAATTCGATTAACTGTAGTTGATATGTGGGATTTTTGACATTTAAGGAATTTATGCCATTCTGCAAAAAACCATTATTATGGTTTTTTCTCTAAATGAAAATTTTAATTCGAAATAAAAACATAAATATAACCCAAAATAAACGTATATATATAAACATATATATATAAACATATATATATTCAAAAGAATATATTAATATAAATTTAAATATAAAATTGAATACAATATACATTGATGACATTGGTTACCACAACAATAAAAATGCTTTTAAAGCAAATCCTTTGCTCTGCAGGATAGTTTTAAATTAATTTACCAAGTATGTAAATCACTATATACTCAAATTAATCAAATTAAATATTACTAAATATGTGTTTGAAGCTAAGATAGAGGACGCGTTAGAGTGCCCTTGCGACTATATCTAAGATATGTATAGAAGAATAACGCTGACGTTTTCAATGACCACAAAGTAAATTTCTATAAGAAAACTAGTCTGCTGTACGAACATTTGATGAAAAAAAAAGCTGATCATCATTGGCTATAAGCCTACGACTACGATGAACAACATAGTCATAATGGAAATGCTACAGCTAGAATTATGTTGTCGGAAAACATAATAGAGGACGTCATCATTATCAGTAGCAGAACCGAGAACTAACGATAGGAATGTACTTGATACTACTAAATGGCGACAATAAGTCACTGATTGCGTTGGATATCGCTGCGGAAAAGGAATAAAAATGTTCTTGAGGTAAGGAATGTCTATAGTATAAGGAGAATAGATTCCAGTAGGCACTTTTCACTTGCGGTGATGTTAATGTGTTATCACGGAACCAGAGCCAACTGCTTCGGTGTCATGACCACAAGGTATTCGCCCATTTAATGGGAGTATCGTGATGACAGTGATGACTCAAAATCCAAATTTACGCAGGTAGTTCTTGTATTTATTACTTACATTCAATGCGGAGTTGCATAGAGAGATGCTAGATAGGCCTCACTCCATCCCTAAAAGAAAACTATATTCAAATTTATAGTTTTAATTCGTACCCGCGAAATTCGACGAACTTTTATTTAGGGCATTTATAGATGCATTATACTGTTACGTGATTTAACAGCGTCGTGTTGTTAAGTCTTTACGGAGGTTAATTACACTAAAAAACTATGAATATGAAACGGGCAACTAAGTGAATGAGTGTTCATAAGTCTGGAATAGTATATGATGAATATAGCGTATTTGAATTTACTTGTACTTTGATCTGCAGCAGAAAACTGCAACGAGTCATAATTTTAACAACTAGAGTACACTCATAAAAAACCAAATATACTAGTCATACGCATTCACATTCGCCACAAAAATGATTTAAAAGCATTTTTGTTAACCAATGCCGGTGCTAATAAATCAGCTTTATAAGAATGCGTACACATTTCTAAGTAAGATATCTTAAATGGCAAATGATTTATGAATTACAGCAAATACTCAGGTGAGTATAAATACACTCATGTGAGTATGAAGATGCATACGAATGTACTCATCGAAAATGAATGACTCGATCAGTTGTGGCATTTGAAAACATTTTATGAGTATCATATGAGCAGAGTATAAATTATTATAAGTGCTGTCAGCTGTAAGTATGAATTAGGTGAAGTGGAGTATACAAAAAAGACACAGTCAGAAAGCATATTAATAAAACACAGTCAATGATTCGAGTGTTGAGTACTCATTGCAGTTTTCTGATCCGCAAGCTATGATAATAAGGGTTGAGCGACAACATTGAAGAGAGCGCAAAGCGACTGTACTTATACAATCAGTGCAAAATTATATGCATCCTGCCTCTAATAGTACAGTAACATCTGTTTTACGGATCTGTTTTACGGAGGATGTAAGGATGTGGTTAGAAAGTCATCAAAAGTCTGTAAAAGTACATTTAGAGCGTTATGCGACAACCTAGAACTGTGAGACCTGGGCATGCAGCACAAACAGAACTGATCTAATAAATATAGTAAGGCTAGAAAAATCAAAAAAATTAATTTGTAAAGAATAACATAACGATTTCTTTCCCCTTTTTCCAACTTCATGTTTAGTTTTGTACTGCATAATTTATACAAAATTGATAACAAAGTTTACTCACAAAATTTTTGCTTACTTATCTTTTTAGTCCCATAAATAATTGCAGTTATAAAGTTTTTAATGATTTGATGGTTTGATTAATAACACTTAAAACTTGCACTAAAACGAAATCACTTTTTGCAATTAATTTCTCAAATCTGTCAATCAGTAGGTATCCTTGGGTATGCATTAAATAACTTAGCAAATTAAAATTTTGTAACATAAACTCATTCGATTTTCAATTATTTTAATCTAAGACAACTAATTCAATTAAAATACCAACACTTACGTTGAGATGAGATGAGATGAGTTTGCAGTAATATATTGCAAACTTGAGTACGAGTCTGTACGGACGTTTTTGAAAATACATGTAATGAGATACATACCCAACAACAGATTAGAAAACTGAAACAATGAAAGTTTATTTACGATGTGCTTTATATGTACAGTTTATAGTTTTATATACTTTAAGGACTAAAGACTAAAGACTAAAGACTTCTTTAAACTGGTAAACCACAAATTTTGACAGCAAAAGGCTAACTTACATATTAGTCTGATACCTACATATATAGATACACAAATATATGCCAGTGTGTGTGTGTGTGTGTGTGATTTTTAAATAAATTTATGTCTGTAATTGTGCAATTTGCATGGTCTTAACAAATAAATACCGTTCATAGTTGCTAACTGAATAATTATATATGCACGAATGCCCACCGCATAACATTTAAGATGCATTTAAATTAATAGATGAGATACATATGCGTGTACGCTTTGAAGTATTAATTATTGCTTGTAAAATTGCAAGAGAGATAAGCAAACAACAAACCCACTAACGTATGCACTTCGAATATTTGTCCGTTTGCAGGCGAATGACTCTGAAGTATGACTCTGAACTCACAGATACGAGTGCATATAACAAAATAATTCTATTCAAAATGTTTGGATACAAATTTGTGTTGCACAAATCAACATAATTCACTGATGCCTGAAAACCAAATCGAATAATTTTAATTTGGTCAAAACACATATGTGAATGTCGGAAAATGTATTTGTCCACCAAATTGAACTTGTGTGCCTCGGTGTGTGGCTGCCTATCTATGTGGTCGGAACCAGTGATTTCTGACACTTGACAGATTATTTATTTGCGAAACTAATTAAAGCAACCGCAACCAACGTATATTCTTCTCCCAACAACAACATCGGGGTGAAAAAACCTAAAGTGTAATGAATTGGGCAACTTATACATTACATCCAACATGTAAATAGAAATATATATATACATTATTATATAAATATTATAGAGTATATATATGTATATGTATTTATATTAAATTCCAACTGCAATATTCGCTGTGCTCAGAATCTCTTTTTGATTGCTGAAATTGTCTAATGCCACTACTGCGTTATTGAAATTTCAATTCAATTTTTCTGAATGAATGAAGTAGAAAATGCTTTCAAAGTAGATACCCAGTAAAATTCAAATAAAAACTCCATTAAGTGGTTTTGGGATTGCTGCTGTGCTTGGCAAATGAGAAAGGTTTGAGCAGCAAAAAAGTGCTTTATTTCCATAAAAATTTGTGATAAAAAATAAAATAAAATTTAAAATAAATAAAAATATGAATCAAAAGTAAATACAAAATACCTATTTTGATTGATCAATGATGAAGTCCTGATACACTACTTTAAAAATATAAATGCAATATATTTTTCGGTATGTTTCGAGATGCATGCAAAATTTTTTACTCTGTCGCCAAAACTCACCAAACTACTCAAATTAGAAATTCTAGAAATGGATCTGTCAATAAAAGCAGCGTACGAGTATACTCTATATATTGATTATGAGTTATTAAAATATGTGTGCATCTACTGCTTAGAATAGTCACAAAATATGCCATTAAGTAATATATAGATTTTTTGTTGATTAGAAAATCTAAGCAACCGATGATTTTGAATATTTGAATAGATTTGAATAGTTGCGCAAAAAATGCGTTTGAAACCTAATCTTCATATTTTGCGTAGGAAGATTTATAGCCTTGATTATACCCTTCTATAAATAATAGAACGAGAAAGTAATTGGCACAACATGGACCTGAAAGCTATACTGAAATAACCTCAGCTATTAGAGGTTAAGCTATAAATTAATATCATAATTAATATCAAATTAATATCGTTAGTATAATACTGTTGCTACTCCAAACAGGAACCGAAATAATGTTACTCACCTATCTTACAAACATCACAAACAACAACAATAACTGTATCTTGCACAATATAAAAAATAAAGTCGATGTAATTCACTGTCCACACTGTCCCTGGCTTTCAAAAATAAAATGATACCGCTGAAGCAAAAGTGAAAATAACTTTGATCAAAAAAATTTGATAGTTAAAGAGAGAAGTCTTTATGTAAATTATGGTGACTACTAGTATAGCCATCCTTTTTTATTTCATTTAATTTTTATTTGCTTTGTTATTTTTTCTTTTATTTTTATATTAGCCGTTATTTTTTCTTTCAGAGTAGCAAAAAAAATACTTGCACTTACGAATGGAAACATATGAAGCAACAACAATGCTCTTAAAACCTTAAGAGTTAGGTTTCACTCGCAAAAAATTTTGTAACTTAAATTTCAGTGCAGCTCTGCATGTGTTGTACTTGAGTTTTACTAGTTTTACTTGTTTTTTACTTGAGTTCTACTGGTTTTACTTGAGTTTTACGAGTTTTGCTTGAATTTTACTGGTTTTACTTGAGTTTTACTAGTGTTACTTGAGTTTTACTGGTTTTACTTGAGTTTTACTAGTTTTACTTGAATTTTACTTGAGTTTTGCTACGAGTAGCTTGTATACGTAGTATAGGTTATAAAAACAATTTTAAATAATTATAAATAATGAATGCAATCACAATATGCCATTGGAATGCAAACGGCTTAAGCCAACATGTACTGGAAGTA